CTACATACCAAACTCTAGCATACAACCATTTTTACTGATTAACGACTTTTGTGTTTCATTATGTTTTTATTTACATTTTCCTTCTCTTTCCTCTCTATTACGTATTTTAACCACATTTGATACAGTTGATTAGATACGTGGTTCACTCAGGGACCGAAATGGTAAACCCGCGGCGCAGGAAATTATTCCACCGCCCTTCGTTTAAAATTCAAAATTGAAAATCAGGAAAAAGTAACGAAAGAAGTTCAAACGGAGAAGAGGCTTATGCGGTGGGGACAGAGAAAGATCAGAGACGTCAAAAAGGTAGAGAGTGACGGCTAATTTTTTGAATCGACTTTTCACTTCCATTCGTAAGTGTTCTTCCCGCGCTTTTTTGCCTCGAACAAGTGGAAAATTTCTGTACTTTCGATGAATTTTTTGGTGTGATTTGCTAATTATAGAGGGATTCATGTATAGTTGGAGAGTTGTCTAATTGCGACAAAAGGGAGGGAAATTTGATCTCCACGCCTATCTGGATGGGAGAAACAGAAATCTTGCCCTCTTCTAAATTAGTTATTCAGCTCAATATTCTCTTAAGAAAAAGAGGGCAAATCTTATATGTTTTTATTATGAGACATGAGGATGTGTCGCGCTTATTTTCTAAGGAGATGACCTAATCACTCTGAAAACAGTACATTATCAGCTTGAATTATGAACTAACTATGATTAAATCTTACATGTCATGTGCTGATATAAGGAATTAATTGGAAGTGAATAGAAACAAAGTGCACGTGTTCATTTAGAGAAACATTAACGATTGATTCTGATTATGCATGGAGATAACCTCTTGCAAGTGGAAAACATTGCAAGTTTGCCAAGTTGTAACTGCTATGTAAAATAACCTATTTAGTTAAAGAAATTCATATGTACTCGCTGAAAATTTATTCCTTGATTTGCAACAATTTCGAGTTAGTTTAAAGGAGCTTTGAAATGAGTGGATAGTGTTGGAGGGAAAACAGCTTGGATGTTTGAACATTAGCAACATCAAGGTTTGGGACTTTGGGTATATCTTATAATGTTCTTTGCAGGTCTAATTAGTTCAAGGCCTTAACTAATTCTTGTGTAAATTTACTATCAAATGTTACCATGTGTGGCAGCACATGCTCCCCATAATATTATGTCTATCAGTGATGAAAGTGGCTCGAGTTCTAAACTTGTGGTATGACCTACATTTGGCTTAAACTGGACTAGATGTGGTGGATGTTAGAACTTAATTCCAATTTGGAAACTATTTGAGTTTTCCAGTTGCTGGCTGCTATTTGCTGAAGTCTATGATGTTAGCTAACCGAGGTAAATCACTGGATCTATTGAAGATCCTGATGATGCGTCTTGATTTTGTTAATTAGTAGCTCAGTAGGTTCAACATTGGGCTTTTAACCTAATGGTCACAGGTTCAAGCCCTGCTATACCAAGATGCTAAAATTATGGATCCTTAACTCCTTATTTTTTACAGTAAAGCCTCCTAGCATAAAGAAATGAGAACCTCTCTCAAATGATATTAGCACAAAGTACATCAGAAAGATGGCTACTGGCTATACACCTTTGGATTTTAACAAGTTCAAACACAGATTGTACGAAATGGAGTTTGAAGAGTGTAACTATGAGAATTCTAGCTTTATTGAAAAACATTCTTTATTAAAAAGACATTGAGAACTAAAGTATGGCCTGCTCTGTTGTCCATGGATTATAATCATCATGGATTTATTTTTAATTTATCTATGTACTTTACTTCCATAATATCCCCTCCAGAAATGAAGTCAAGGAAATCACTGAGTCCTCCTTCTTTATAGGACAAAATATGTTGTTCATCGACAAGCGCTGGAGCAGGTCTAACTTTTTTACCTAAAGCTAGACTGTGAAGGCTGGCAATGGATAGACGCTTTTTTTCTGAGTTAACTGTTGCTCGATGGATAACGCTTTTGTATCTGCCATTGGTCAATACTTCCATGTGATCACCCAGCAGAACAACGAGAGCTCCTTCAATGAATGGAACTGCATGCCACTTTTCATCTCGATCCATGATTTGCAAGCCCTGATGATTTTGCAGAATGATGGATAACATACCATAATCTGTGTGTGGTGGCAATCCTAGTGTAAGATCCGGTTCAGGACATGCAGGATAGCAATTAACAACCATGACCTGGGAGCCTTCTGCAATGTCTTCATGTAAGTAGTTAGGGTTTAGTTCTAAGCTCTCAAATATTGCTTCCATGAGTTTTTCTTGCAACTTTTGTACTGCTGTTGTGTAATTTCCCATTTTCTCCCTGCATGATGAGCTGGTTTAGGCTCTTGAAATTATGTTCTTCCTGAACATAAATATTTCAGATAAACATATTCACAAAAGATTGGAAGACTTACTTGTAACATGTGGGTTTTGATGGCCACAAATCTATCCAATTTGAGATTGGATTAGCATAGTGCTTGAGGAAGTCTCTCCAAAAGGATACTTTGTCTTTGACATCATTTAGACTGGTATTGTACCTTATGGGATCATGAACATTTGGAGACAAGAGATGCATTTTCTCTTCATTTGGTAATTCGAAGAACTCAGTCGCAGCATCTAATACATCTTTCATGACTGACAATGGGATTCCATGGTTGATTACCTGCAAAGTCATTTATTGCATGCATGCTGTTATTTTACGTTCAGGTTGAAATAGTGAAGAACTTTTTATCCTCTCCCCTTAACTGCTAAGTATCTGAAATATAGGACGTCATCAACTGAAAATAAAGGGAAGAGGAGAGGAGATAAAGCCTAGAATCCTAATGCACCATGCATGCTGCATGAAGTTGTTTCTTTTTCTTGATTTCCAAGTGCTTTTATCTACCTATGAGGAATCTGACAAACATCTTTTATTTACTCGGTGGGTGCATATTGTTCTCTCTTAAATCGTATCAGCATGAAGAAACTTTATATGCACTAGTGTAACAAAATATGGTAAAACCATATCATTCTAGTACATGATTGCTTGTAACTTGACAAGAAGTACCTGGAAGAAACCTAGTTCCTTGCAAGCCAGTTGTACTTCCTGGATTATCTGATGCCGAAAAAGAGGGTGTTGCAGAAAGGATAGATCCACGATGGCCAAGCATGTATTGGACAAGGTTCCATCGGGGCGTAGGGATGGGGGAAGAACGTAACGTTTGCGAACACAGGCTAGTTCCTCTTCAGTAAGTGTCATGGCACTAGTAAATGAATCATTTGGTGAAGCAGAGCTCTTTTCCATTTTGTCCTCTCCTCTTTTTTTTTTCCTTCCTTGTGTATCAAATATGACTTTAACTCCCTATTTATAAGCAGAAAACATGATGATTTTAATTGTATTTTTTCATTTTAAATTTATTTATCCAGTTATGCAATGAATATGTGTAGTCATCTGATGATACATCGACTATTAGCGATGAAAAGTTTATCCCTTAGGAACGTTATTATATGCTCATAAATCATAATAAATGGAAGAGCCATGCAACGAATGATATTACAATACTGTTTTGTTATATTTGAAGGCAGGAAAATCTTAGATGACGGTAATTGTTGGTTCCACAGGTTGATCCAGAAAATGTGTTTTTTTTTGGAGG